ATTCATCTTATGAGATTACAAAAAAGTATAGAGCATAATTAGTATAATATGTTTCAAACCTCTCATTAAGCAAGAAAATAGTCAATATTATCAAGAAAAATTATTCTTATATTGTGAAGAATCTAAGCACACTAGTCAAGATTATCCAAAGAAACAATATAATTACAAAATGAAGAACATGGTTATTAAAGATGACAATGTATTGAAAAACAAGTTTATTTAGGCTCAATAAAGGCCGCATTATTGGAATTTTAGATAATATCTACTAAAGATCCTATTCTCTATTTAAATCTTTTATATTATTTTACAATAGATGTTTGTGTAGGACCAAAATGTTATGAAATCTTTGCCTTTTTAGACTCAAGAGCATCAATGTGTTTTATAGATAAAGACTTTGTCAAAAAATATTAAATAATTTTAGTAAAAAAAATTAATTTTGTATATGTAGAAGTTATAGATGGTCATTTGTTGTCTTTTAAAAATATTATTTATGAAACTATTCCTTTAAATGTAACAACTAAAAGACATAATAGCTTACTAATATTTAATTTTATTAGGTTTATTGGAGCTAAAGAAGTGTAATTCTTGAATAATTAGATTACTTGTAACAATGATTTTTTTCATAACATAATTCAAAGTTCTATTATCTAAATAAAAAATCATAAGTTTAAATTTTATTAATAGGTATATGAACCTTTATGCATGTTACAAAAAAAAATAGTTTTTATTTTTTATTTATGACACATTTATTTTTAATTGTAGAAAGACTAAAAGTGGCATTCCAAATCAATATTAAGATTATCAAGATGTTTTTGAAAAGTAGAGTAAAAATATTCTTCTAGAGCATTATTCTTATGATTGTTCAATTTTTCTTTAAAAAAGATCTCAACAGCCATTTGGACCAATCTATAGCTTATTACAAAACAACTTGATTGTACTTAAGGAATACTTTGACAAGGACTTGCTATATGATTTCATACATGATTACAAATTTCTAAAAAAATTCATATCTTATTTGAGTTGTAATTTAAGTATTGCAATTTATAAAGATTTGATGCAAAATAAAGAAAAAGTAATATATATATATATATATATATATATATATATATGTTAATAATAAATTATATTAATCAAAGATAAAAACATATATCAAGAAAAAGAGTTTAATTTGACTTCTTAATTTTATGAAGTAATAACCATAGATTCATGATCTAGAAAAAAGTCAACAAAAAGTTATTGTATTACATAAAAATATCATTATAATAACACACACAAACACACACACACACACACACATATATATATATATATATATATATATATATATATAATCATAATTCCAAGTAAACATTCAAAAAAATCGATATGTCTTGATAGTATTGCAAGTTTATTTTTTAAATCTTTGGAACAATCTACTAACAAGTTTATCTAATAAAAACCTTTGATAAAAATAGAAATTAAAACCTTAGTTTTTTAATATAACAAATATTAATAATATTTTGAAGAAAAAACTATCTTTTATTTTTTTTAATGAAAAATAACTTCTACAATGCAAGAAGTAAGAAAATATATATTTTACAAAATAAAATGTTATTATTATTGATTTATATAAAGCATTTTTTATAAATTGATAAGATAATTACTAAGAGATGTTTTTAAAATATCTACTAAAAATTATTAATTATAAATCTGATGTTATAGTGGATATATACCAATAATAGATGATCAGACATACTAATAATAACAATATTTGTTCTTATTGCTCTACCTATTTGATAAAAATACTATATTTTTTAAAGTGGATGCATCTATAATTTATATATATTTATATAATAAATACATCAAAAAAGTCTATTGATTAAAAAAGTTAATTATGACTAATTTTAGCCACCAGAAATTTAAAAAATCTGACTTTTTTTATTATAAAATAAACATATAATTAATAATTGTTAAATATTTGTTTATTAGATTTTGTGAAAACTTAATTAACAGCTCATTTAAATGACAAAAATGTTATTTTTGGATTTAATTTATTTCTTCTCTAATAATTATTTTTGCATGTGTTTTGAATTTATTTGATTTCTAAAATAAATAAATTATAAATTTGACTTTAAAAACAAGAAAATTTAAGAGAAAAAAATAATATAAAAAAAAGTCAAACTAAATAATTTCATATTAATGGTGATATATATATATATATATATATATATACTTAAATACAATCTACATGTGACTTTATTTTTTAGTTCAATTAAAAAAAAATATCAAAAATTTATAGATAAATAATTAAAAATTAAAAACAAAGTCAGAGACACAATATCAATATTTTTTTCTTATTTATTTAATCTTTAAAAAAAATCTATTATCATTTCATTTATGGCTATTAATTGAATTTGTGTTTAAATATAATATCACAAGTATCTGTATAATATAACAAATATTGATAATTTAAATTTATTATGATTGTGATTAAATCTGATGTTAACAACCATGGATCACTTTAGCAACTTTAAATAATAAATAATAGTTCTTTACCACCATTATATGCAATTTAATCATGATTTTGAGTTGCTTTCATTTAGAAATTTATTAATTAATGAAACTGTATGATGAATCTTTTTTTAATATTGATCAATGATAAAATAAGTACAATTCTTGTAATGTATGGATTAGAAATCAAGAAAATTGGATTTGTTTAAAAAATGATTCACAACACACATTATGCACATAAAATTAGATGCACCTAATGATTGCTAAAATTTGGTTGTACCGTTATACAATGCTACGATTGCAATACTTTAGTATTTACAATCAATTAAATAAAAGACATCAAAGTTTGTTATTGATTTGTGAATATTTATAAGATATTATTTCATGTTGTATAATAAGAAAATTTAAAAATATTAATAAAGTTATATTTCATTTTAAATAGGTATTGTTATTGATTTTTAATAATTATATATATGGAATATGATTTAAAGTTTAAATTTTAAAATCAGTACTGATACATGTAGATATTCACATACATACATACATATATTGAAAAGAAGACTTGAATTAAACGACTTCACAAATACAAAGGGAATAAAAAGTACAGTTTACACGTGTACTCTATAATAGTTTAATAAATGAAATCTGCATAAACTAATAACTTCCATTCAATGAATTATGAGTATTTTAAAATATTTTCATTTGTATTTTAGAACTTGTAGTTTTATATAATTAGAATTGTATGTTAATTAAATTTTCTAAATATTTTCTTCAAAAAATTTTAATAGTTTAGATGTTCAGAATTATAGATGAAAATAGGAAGTCTACAAAAACGCAAATTAAAAAATATTATACATTCAATCTAATGATAAATATTCTTCAGAATGAGGAAATATAAAAACACTTAAAAACATATATCTCGTAAGAATGCATTACACACAAATATCTAGTTTTCTAAATAAATTGTTGTAATATTAAGCAAAGATTTATTGACTCATAATCAATTGGTTTCACACTCGTTGGTAAGCAACACATAATCGTGAATGGGCATGAATCCATATGGAAATGAATAAAGGTACCCAGACCATTTTCAAGTGCAACACTAAAATGGTATTCCTCCTCCTTCTCCCCCCTAAGACCGAGGCCTGCCACTCCCAGTGTTCAGGAAATGTTACATGAAATAGAAACATTATTTCATGATCCAAAATGCGTTTTAGAAATTGAACAGCATACTCTGTTATGCTTGATTTTATTTTCACATCCTGCTTTTCAACTTACTTATTTATTTATTTATTTATTATTATTATTATTATTCTGATGCTGGACTTCCTTGGAAATTTTAGTGCTGTATTCTCTCTCTCTCTCTCTCTCTCTCTCTCTCTCTCTCTATATATATATATATATATATATGATTTCAAGCACAAAAAAAAAGATAAGGATGTTGCCAGTTGAACCACTTCATAGTTACAAATAAAATAGAAAAGTAAACAGTTATAAACTGCAAGTTTGTGCCAAACCATGATAAAAAATGAAAAAGGTCAGTCACTTTTTTTGTGATGGAGTAACACAACCTTGCCCTTACAAATCATGGCACACAAAAGCCACAGCCATGTTTGAATAAGTGCAACAATACAATCAACCAACCAAACATTTGTTCTATTCAATAGTTCAATATGTAAAACAAATGACAAAACACCCATAAAAACTTCATATCTAAGGGGCAAACAGCAACAGGATAAGAAAAGTCAGTTAAGGATCACTTACACGAAAAAACACACAAGAACCCATCAACTTATTTCAAAAAAGAATGACCTTGACGTGGTAAGCATGTCAAAAATATGGGGGTCCAAGCTGACAAAAAGCAAGAGCAAGCCTTCTTTAAATGCATTCTTTTACAACAACAATAACGATAATAACAACGCCAACAACAAGCAATAACAATAACAATAATGTTAATAATAATAATAATAATAATATACCCTCTTGAGATAAGAAAACCGTCCTTTGCTTAAGATAGCCGTGCTTGGGGGATATTTGGGGTCACGGTCGACGTCCCTCCACTTCACAGAGCGAGTGTGAACAGGGCAAGCCAAGCGAAAAAGTCACCACAGTGCGAACGAGGGCTCTCGACGGGCGGAGTCAAGGCAAGCGTCCCGTTGGCAGTCAATCAGGCGAACGCACGACGGACGAAGTGGACGAAACGAACGAAAACGAGGATTTGGACGAATAGAGCGGACGAGGACAAGGAGTGGGACGAAGAAGGCGGACGGAGGGGTTCAGTTTCGCGATGCGACGCGATGCTAAGCCAAGGTGGTGGTGGTGCGGGGGCAACGTTGGGCTGCAACTACTATTGGTAGTAGTATTGTGTTGGTGGCTGTAGCAAAGCTAGTAGCTCCACAGGTCCCACCTCGTCGTCGTCGTCGTCCTCCTCTGGGTCCCCCCGTCCCGTCCCGCTCTCCTTTTCTTTCCTTCGTTTTCCTTTCATTCCCTTCTTCTCCTCCTCGTCGTCTCCCATTATCCAGCTCAAGCCGATGCCATGGAAAGGAATGCCAAGACTTTTCATCGCCCCTTGCCTTCCTCCTTCTCTTCCTCTTCCTCTTGTTGCTTCTTCTTCATCTTCTTCGTTTCGTTAATCACCGTCGTCATCTTCATTACCTGCCCTTTCATCTTCCTCCAGACGCCTCTTGTGACTTAGCCCTCAACCTATTGTCTGCAGCAGCAGCAGGAGGAGCTGCAGCAGTAGTTGCAGCAGCAGCAGCTGTCGAAGTTGCCTTTTCGTGAAGTGGGATGCCTTGCGGCGCATGGTGAGGGGGTGAGTTCCATTCGTTGTGGAGTGGGTAGGTGGTGATTGTGGGGGTGGTGTAGCTTAGGGAGATGTTTTGGTGTTGAGAGGTTTGAGGTTTCCCCCGGGGTGGTGGAGCTTAGACAGTTGTCTTGTGGAGGGAGGGGTGGAGGCGAAGGTGTTGAGGTTTTTTGTTGGAGGTTGGGTTGCGTCGGGTAGGTCTTGTGGGATCCACTCGGCAGGGATGCCCATGTATTGCGGATTCTCGTGCTGCGCGGGCTGTGATCTTGTGTTGACGGGAGAAGTGGCTGTGGGGAGACGGGAGTGTGTGTTGTGAGCCAATGCGTTGCGAAGGAGAGGTGGTGGAGAACGAAGGAGTGGGGAGAGAGTCGGCGAGCTGAGAGTTTAGGTCCACATCGGGGTGCGTGCGATTTTGGGTGGTAGTTTGTTTTGTAATTTGCGATAGTAGGATTGGTGTAGACGGCTTTTCGCTGTCCTGTTACGAGGATGCGATAAAGGAATCAGGGGGTAAGGAAAGTGAGCACGGTGAAGAAGAAAGGGGAGAAAATGGCGGTTCTTGACGGGGAAGCCCGGGTGCTGTTGACAGCGCAGCACATTATCAAAGCCCTCGGCACGTCGGATGCCATGACGGATGACATGATATCTGTGCTTTCTAAGTTTGATCACAGGTTTAGGGACATGAATGACAGAAATTTGGATCGAAGATTGGATGCTTCCACTTCCCAGAAGTCTCCGAAAGGGGAGGATTCCGACGAGGATTCGTACGATGTGCCCCAAGGGTCGCGAGGGGGATCTAGGGCGAGGAGGGTGATCAATTCGGCCTTGGATTCAGCGAGGACGGTGATTGTGCACTGGGACATGGGGCATGGGGGGCATGAGGTAGGCCAGAGGTGGATCTTTGAGAACAACGCGGAAGAAACTCAGGTGTATCTGGACGCCGTTGACAAGGTGCTGATGGAGCTTGAGAATATGAAAATTCACAACCGGGATCCGAAGCTGCTCGAAGAAGCACAGAATCTGCTTCAGCTGGCTATGGAGAGATTGGAGGAAGAGCTGCGCCATGTCTTGGAGATGTACACTGGGTTTGTTGATCCTGATGTGCTCTTGGATTCATTCTCAGCTGCGTCTTTCAGATCGCCTTTTGATGAAGAAGAAGAAGAGGAGGAAGAGGACGACGAAGAGCCGAACATTGCCACCCCTCGAGTAGGCCAGTTCGAGAGATCTCAGAGCAGGGCGGTTGCTTTGATGCCAGACCAAGCGGCAGAATACGTGATTGCCATTGTCACTCGCTTGATCGCAGGTGGGTTCAAGAAGGAATGCGTGCAGGTTTATATTAGCTCCAGGAAGGTCGTGTTGGAGAACAATTTGTTGGCCTTGGGGGTGGAGAGAGTGAGCATAGATGAGGTGCAGAAGATGCCATGGGAGTTACTGGAAGAGAAGATCAAGAGTTGGAATCAAGCTATGAAAGTCGGTGTGACGGTGCTGTTTGCCAGTGAAAAGCAGCTGTGTGATCAGGTACACTCCTTAACCTTTCAGGCCTGTCCGTAATCGCTACTCTTCTTCTGTGGGTGAGAGTGAATGGAAATGGTTTGTGTCGGTTGTCTACCCTTTTCGGGTATGGCGAGGAAACCAGGAAGTTTGTTCCTAGTCTGGGGTGCATCTTTCAGAACTCTCCTTTTAAAGGTCAAAGATCGGGATTGACCTGCAACACATGCTATTGCAGAATCTTGATACATCAGTAAGTTTGAATTGAATTAATTCAGTGAATTATACGTCATGCCATCTTTTTGACCGCCTTATGTTGACTACTTAGCTCGGTTAGTACCTAGTATTATTCCTTTTACATTAAGGGGTGATAAGTAGAGCTTGGTCATTGCAGGTTGGTAACTTCAGTCTTTGTAGTTGAGCGTAATTATGGACTGTTGTAGATGGATGTTTTTTTCCTCATTGTCTGAATCATCACGATCGAATTGGTTTTTAAGGGTGGAGCGTTTGTGTGATGAGAATATGATAGATTGTCTTCGTCATTGTCTTGAGGATTCCAATTGTCGTCCGTAAATTGTCGGACATTATTGGATAAGTAACATATCTCTTGGCTTTCTTGGTTGCCATGCTTCTTTTTAAGGTCGCTTCCATGTTACCGGATTTTCTCGGAATCAAGGTCTTCAGTTATGTTCAATAAGTCTTCCTTGTTCTAATTTCTCAGCTCTTCACATTGAAGCCCGTCCTAACTTTTTCATCTTTTAGTGCATTTGCTTACATTATTTGAACCTATGAGTGCACATCTTGTGAAGTCGTATTTGCAGTCTAATTGCAATTCAACTTTCTCTTACTGCCCTTGCTTGCTGGTATATGTGCCCATTCTTGATGCGCTCATATTGCGACAAGTTGTTATATATTCTCACTCTACTTCTGCTTGAACCAGGTATTCGCACCTCCTCTCAACGACATCTGCTTCAATGATTTTGCCAAATCCGCCATGATGCACCTTCTCAGTTTCGGGGGAGCCATTGCTATAAGTCGAAGGGCACCGGAGAAGCTGTTCAAATTACTGAACATGTATGAAACGCTTAGAGACCTCATTCCAGAACTGGAAGTAATCTTTTCTGGGACATCTGGATCAAGTGTAAGGTCAGAAGCAAACGGAATTCTCTCTCGTCTCGGAGAGGCAATCAGAGGGACCATTTCAGAGTTTGAGAACGCCATTCTGCGAGACAGTTCTAAGGTGCCAGTAATGGGGGGTTCAGTCCATCCACTTACTCGCTACGTCATGAACTACATCAAATTAGCATGTGACTACAGTGATACTCTGAAGCAGGTATATGGTGAAAGGGATAATTCGGAGGGTCCAGGTAGAGCCACCCAATCACCCGACGAGGGAGATGACAGATACACCAGGGAAGAATCCTCTCCTTTGGCAAGCCAAGTGTGTCGCCTAGCGGAGGCTCTTCAGAACAACCTTGAAGGGAAATCTAAGTTGTACAAGGACCCTGCTTTAACGCACGTATTTCTTATGAACAACTTCCACTATGTAGTGCAGAAGGTGAAGGGTTCAGACGTTCGAGTGCTGATTGGGGACATCTGGGTGAGGAAGCAGGTCAGCATGGTGAGGCAATGTGCAGCAAGCTATCAAAGGGCCGCATGGGGCAAAGTCTTGGCTTGCCTGAGGGGCGAAGGCTTGCAAGGGAGCAAAGGTCTGTCCTCAACATCAGTTTCTCGTCAGACTCTGAAAGACAGGTTCAAGAACTTCAACACCATATTCGACGAGGTTCACAGAACACAGTCGCAGTGGGTAGTGGTGGATCCAGACCTGCGTGACGAGCTACGTATCTTCATCGCCAACAAAATACTGCCAGCCTATCGTGCCTTTCTAGGTCGTTATGGGCACCACATTGAGACTGGAAGGCATCCAGACAAGTATATCAAGTACACCGTGGAGGACCTTGAGACGGCCATTGGTGACTTCTTCACTGGACACAGTGGCTCATTGGGGTCCACCTCGAGAAGGAGATCCTTCTCATTGCACTCAGGGCAATAACCTGGGTCAGTATTGGTATGCGTCTGTACAGGAGCTTGTTTTCCAACTTTCATCTAGAAACAGTCGTAGTGTATACTGAATTCCGACTACACAAAAAAGCTTCCAAGTTACTACAAACTATCCTGCCTTGAAACACAGGCATTGTAATTTTATTTTGAGACAGGTGGATGATTATCATGTAGAATGTTGTCTTCGTCTTCACAAGCAGGAGACCCTTGTCAGTGAGAGTAAATGAATGCAACTGGAGCATCACATTTTTCACAACCCAGGTGTGCTGCTTGTCACTCTTTCACCATCACTACCATTTTTTTTCACTGGTTTTTGATATACTCATAGCTATACACCTAGCAACCCCACTTCTTACCCATCTGACAAGCAGGTGGATCAATGTATCCTCTGTGCCACGCCGGAAGAGTGCAGTCAGATTCTACAGCTGTGGTTGCACGACACTTTCAATTTTAGTTGCTAGGGGCATGCTGAGGCAGCAACTAGGGGACGCAGGTCAAAGATAAAAGGGGAAAACCGACACTGTGGACGGGTTAAGGGGGTTGGTCTGCACGCGTTGGAAAGTGTGGTTAAGGCAACAGCCTGGAGCTTAGTGCAGGGAACAGCAGATATGTGGGAGGCAGATTCTCCATGCGGATCAGATGGGGGCTTGCAGCGGCCCCAGTTTGTCGAAAGTTCAATTCTGTCACCTCCGACTACTGGGAGCCATAAAGTGAGCTCTGCTCCGCTCTGCACTGACCCCCTTTTTCTACTCGGAAGTGCAAACATGCATCCAAATCCAGCTTGAATATGTTGTCTCTGTGCTTTTTTCCAAAAAATATAACTTTCAAGTCTTAACATTGTACATGTGATAAAGTAATCTTCCAATATCGTTCCCAATTCATGATTTTTATTTCTTTTGGTGGATGCCTGAGATATTTAGTGTCTTTTTTTTTTTTTTTTTTTTTTGTTTGATTGTTGAGGTCGTGTTGATTTCCTCTCTGTCCATATTTTGTAATTTTTATAAACACCACAATGTAGGTTTATCAAAGATGTGTTTTGGTTCAAATACTAGTTTTGTGAAGTTGGTTACAAAGTCTTGATGTTAATAATAGTGGGTTATAATGTGTTACAGTTGTTTCGTTGAAACCTGAATAATCAATCCATATGGGCAAATATTTTTTTTAATAGTTTTGATACATTTCGAATTATCTTATTTCTGGAAATATATACACACACACATACAAATGTATGTATATATATATATATATATATATATTACTTTGGATTTTTTTTTTTTTTTTTTTTTTTTTTTGTTTGTCAACATAATCCACCATTGCCAAAGAAAAATTATGTGATAAATTGTACATGAAATTTGGAATTGTCTAAATCACAGAGATAAAAAAGATTAATTTAAACAACGTCTAAATGAAGGAATTATAGAGTTTTAAAACATTGCATGATTGCTAAGGAAAAAGCTTTATGAGGTGTTCAATTTGTGAAATAAATGATGATCACAAATGCAAAGAACTTAACTTTAAAAAAATTAACAAATACAAAAATTGGTGATTAACAATGTATCTTGGAACTTTTGTTGATAAAATTGTATTACTACAATGTCTTATCTTGAAATTATCAATTATTTAAACACTAATTAATAAAATAATATAGCATAGAAAATGCTACATATATCAACCTACTTTTTAAATGTTTCTAAGTTTCTAAGTAGACTTTATGTACTCAGTTCATTCTTTTATTATAAAAATAAGCATATTTGATTTAAAACACATGGACAAATAAAGCCTTTTGAATGGCTATGAAGATACAAATGCATGGAACTTGAAGAACATGGGAATAAAACATAGGAACTAGGGAATGTGTGAACAAGGGATCCAAAGAACATGGAAGCCAAGGAACATAAAAACTAGGAAATATGAGAACCAAGGAATATGAGAATGTGGAAAAGAGAGAACATGGTAACAATGAAGTGTGGATGAATGAGGGAAAGCATAGATGTACTAGAGATTGCAATGCCCAACACAAGTTTGTGCTAATATATATATATATATATATATATATGTTTAAAAATAGTATCTAAAGAGTATCAAATGGATTGGTTTAAATCACATAAAATATTTTAAGTTTGATGTGGATGCAATAACAAAAGAAGTAAAAGAAGTAATATGGTGTGATTAATTCAAATTCAAATACATGCATTAATTAAAATTTATCAATGATTTAGAAAAGTAAATAATAAAACTAAAAATATAAGTACTAATATGCAATTCATAATCATTTACTTAAAATACCTTAGTAGACATATAACTTATTTATAATAGATCAGTGAATTATTATATACTTGAAATTGAATTATTGAAAAAAAATTCAATATCAACTAATACGAGTAAAATTTCAATAGACATTTTATCCTCACAAAATCAAAGAATATAACTTGATGTTCTCACCTCCATTAATTATAAATTTGAGGTGTACTACCTCTCACTTTCTAAATAAATAAACAAATGAATAATGTTTCAGAACTAAAACTCATAAATACAAATGACCCATACATATACACAAATATTCTTGATCGTTCAAATCATATCTAATCGAGATATATCACAACTGTTCCTAAATTTGAAACTCAAAATACTTTGGAAAATGAAACAATGCAAAACAGAAAGATTGTAGAAAACCCACGGGCACTTGGGTGTTAAGAGATAAAAAATGTGAATGAATACAATCTATTGATGGCACTCAGATTTACTCTAGTTATTTGGCCAAGTCTATCTTGCTCTTTTTGTTCCAGGTGCTGACAGCTTTCTCCAGACCTTGAGTTGTCAAAAGTCTCACTCCCTCAACTCCTCGTTGTAGCACTACATCCAACTGCCAAAACCATTGCCTTGATTATGAACCATAACCTTGTATGCTACGTCAGAAGGAGATTCAACAAGATTGAACTGTGACACAGCAACTCAAAGTGGGTTAGAAAGAACTCACTTCTTCTATTTCTTTCGAGCTGAATTTCTGCAGCACGTAAGCACTCGGAGGCATACTGCCCGCTGGTCTCCCAATGCCTATACATACATACATACATACATACATACATACATACCGGTATGTGTCAGTTACACATACAGTCTTGTGGGAAGTACGGCTGATGAACTCGGTCTAGATGCTAAGCACGTTACAAAGTGTCGACCAGCATTAATACACAATAATCAGATCAGCCATGCGCAAAGACACGAGAGGGCATGATGCTGATGCCATACCAAATCGTAGTCTAGGAAAGTCTTGTTTCCCTCCGAAATGATCTATCAAGCTTCTCATCCTACAAGAGGATAGTGGGTCAGTACCTCTTATTCGAAGACGAGAAATATTGACACGGTTTTAATTGACATTTGAAGCTCAAAAAATGCTCACTCAAAAAGATTCATACAGTGTGATGTATAGATGATCGGATGAGTAACAACCTCTATTGCTGAAATCGATATCCTACTAACTGTGAGTGGAAGTGTTGAAGGAGTAGAATAGATCCTTCACAAATAAGACGAATATGTTGGGAAGTAAATGAAAACTATAAATTTATAAATTCATACCCGTTGTGACCTCCATGGCCTCCCTTTGGCAGCAACTTCAACGTAGCGAACTGAAGATCTAAATCATCAAAAATCTATCACAACTAACAGTGTAAGTAGCCAGTTGAAAAGTGGCATATGTGGAATGTGATACATACGACGCAGGACAAATTACTTCAAAACGACTTTAAGCCACTATACTTGTTTCCAGCCAAAGGAAACAAGTTGGATCATTACTGACCAAGATAGAGCAATTCATCTAGACCTTACACAGCTCAGTAATACCATACCGCAAGCACGCGTTCGCGAGGAATCTTGTAGTAAGCAGAAAGCGGTCCCACCTAATCAGAGAAAAGAAAAAGAAAATAAAATTGTCAGTAGTTTGATGAAATGCAAATCAATAGCTGCACACATTGCTTATCTCTTGAATTTGTAACACGCAGCTACTCATCGACTCTTCGAAAGATAACTGCACCGCATTTTGTCCACACAGTTAAGGATAAGAAGAGCTCACTGATTCTCCACTCAAATTCATGTAGGTCTGGGGCTTAGCAAGAAGCACTGGTGTGGTTCCGATATATCCTGTTAACAAAAGCTTGCACACCGCAAGTACAATGACCTAATTAGTTGGAATTTTCCTCAACCAAAGTGCCGTCTCAATGCGGTTTAAAATTATGGCACACGAATTTTTAATTTCTTTTTTCCCATCTTATCACGAAACTGAAAACTACATATTACAAAACAAACAATGCACTGGTAAATTACTACGCCTTCCACTTTGAACCCAGAATCCGAATTAGCACAAATAAAACACCCTTTCTCCCCAAACCACCAAATCAGTCTTGCATTGCAACTCGAAACACACACGAACACGTAAATGGGTCTTCAGAAGCTTGAACCTTTTCCTAGAAGTGATTTATGCTGAATCATTCGTAGTGGAATGTTCTCTGCTTCCGCAATGGCGTCAATCATGTCAAAGCCAATCTGCAACAGAGCAGCCAATTACCAAGTATTGCTCATTATACCCGAGACAATTGGGACTTGCAGTTGACGAATCGAGGAGTCAGGGCAAAAGCAACCACGGAACCGCACAAACACAACCCACAACTCACGTTATGGCGAGTGCCCTCGAACTTGATTCCCGGATTTCCCAATCCCACAATCAACCAAGGCGAATTGCGGTTCGAGGCGGACGAGGAAGTCGAGGAAGAGGATGCAGCTCGAATGGGAAGCGAGCAGGGGGAGCCGCGCGAGCACGGAGGCAGCAGGTGCAGGAGCGGCGGAGAGCGCAACCTGTGCAGCCTGGTCCATGGCCGCGTGTGTGCGAGCTGCAAGGGCTGCATTCTCATCGTGTGCTTCAGAGCCCACAATCGCAATCCCTCCACCGCGAATGAGCGAAACCCACAATTGATTGCAGCAATCGCACCTCTCCTTCCGAGCCTGCCCTGGCCTGGCATGCATGAATGAATGCGACGCAGCAGCAGGCAGAGGTGGTGGGTCGAATTGTTGGTTTGCTTGCTGCGAGGACCTGGAGTTACGCGACCACCTGCGCACGAAGGGAAAGGAAAGCAAAGGGAAGGGAAAGGATGGAAAGGAAACGAAGGAATTCCTCCCTACGCTTCTAGGGCTTCCGCCATCTACCCTCGTTTCGTAGATACCTTCTTTCACATGTTTACTATTCCAAGTTATCATTCTCAATATCTATATTTGTGGAAATTTTTCTTTGCTCCTATTTGTATGTGTGTATATATATTGATTGATAGATAGAGAAAGGGTGTTCCTAATGTCACCATAGTTTTTGCTTCTACCATCACAAGTTATTAAATTTTTCATTATTTTTTTTTTAAAAATTATTATAAATATTAATATTTTTTTGATTAGAATAACAAAAAAATAAAGAAATATGTTGAATGAGTGGTAGGTTGTGGTGACAATAACACTATGGTAATATGTAGTGGATGACAAATTGTGCAATATCTTATATGTACATTAGAATTGAGAACTTTTGCTTTGTTTTGGACGTAACATGTTTTGATTAATCATCCAAGTATTATAAAGAGTAATATAATTTGCATCAATACCAAGACAGATGTTAAATAAGTAATATAGAATTTTTAATATATTTTTAAATCAGAAATAAAAATAGTATAAAATTAAAACATCTTGATTTGCTTTAGAAATAACATGTTATAGCACTTTATTAAGGTATTATGAAGAAAAATATAATTTAAATGAATATATAGGTAGATGATAACAAGTAGAGATACACCTCTTTTTTTAATTAAAAATTATAATAATAATTATTTTTAAAAATATACAACATAAATTTTATTATTTAGATGTTTTATAATAAAATAAAATTTTAAATATATTTATAATATTTATTATTAAAAAATAAGATAATTTATTATTATTTTTATTTTAAAAAAAGAATACAATTATTTTTCCAAAGTATTGTCTCTATGACTATTCCATCAATCTTCAAGAAAGAGCTCAACTACTATTTAGACCAATCTATAGCTTATTACAAAATAAGTTGATTGCACTCAAAGAATACATTGATAAGAACTTGGTTAAAATTTTTATACTTCATTTTAAATTTCCAACAAGGACTCCTACTTTAATTTGTAAAGAAAAAAGATAGATCTTTATAGATGTGTGTGGACTATCAAGGATTCAATAAGTTCACCATAAAAAGAAGGTATTTTCTATCTTTGATTTTAAAACTTCTTGATTAATTTAATCAAACAAAGATTTGTATAAAAATAAATCTACAAAGAGCATGCAACCTAGTTGTCAAGGACATATTCTAGGAAGTTATAGAAGATTCTAGAAGGTTCTAGAGAAGCTTTGTAGTTTGTAGAAGCTACTTGAGAAGTTTTCAAGTTTGTGGAAGCTGCTTGATAAGCTTCCTAATTCATAGAAGCTGCTTGAGAAGCTTCCTAATTTGTGGAAGCTATTTGAGAAGTTTCCTAGCTTGTAGTATATATAAGAACTGAGACTGAGGGGATCCTCAGTCTCAACAATACACCTCTTGGAGGTCTAGCTCACATCTCTAGTGTTATTCTTGTACTCATCTGATTAATCTAGTTCTTGTCGATTCTTCTTGAGCTTCTTGTTTAGATTTCCATTTGGTATTCTAAATTTGTGACAGTTTGTCGAGACTTCACTCATCTTTCATATGAGAGCTAGTTCTTTCTTGTTAGAGTGTGGATTATCCCTCTGCTTGAAGGTGTTGGCATTTTAGAAGTTGCGGATTACCCTCCTTTAAACTGATATTTCTTTTATTATAATATTGTAGTCTTATCTTTTTTGGAGAGAGTGGATTACCTCTCTCCTTGAAGATTTTAAGGCATTTTAGAGGTTGTGGAGTACCCTCCTCTAAACCAATATTGCCTTCTTGTAGAGTCATTTCTTTCCTTCTCTTAGAATAGCTAGAGGTCAAGATATTAGTATGACTGAAAGTTTGGAGTCCAAGTTGGATGCCATTATGAATGTTCTTGCTACGTTATCATAGAGAACTGCAGAGATTGAAAGAATCATTGCAAGACTTTATAATGATAGAGCATCTAGGATGGCACAATCGAGGATTCACCAGCCTCAAGCTTTAGCACCAAGAGAAGCAGCTTTGTCTCTAGTTCAACAAGGACTGTTGGTCTTATAACAAAAGGAGCCCCAAATTAGCCTTCCAAACAAGTTTGATGGTACAAGTTCCAAGTTTTGAGGTTTTGTCAATCAAATTAAATTGATAATAGCTTTACAATCCGAACACTATTTGATAGAGGAGTCACGTGTTGGACTAGTTGAAACTTTGCTCATGGAGCAAGCTCTATCATGGTTTGGTCCTTTGTTTGAGAAAAGATCATCAATTTTGAACAACTTTGAAACTTTTTTGGAGGCGTTTGTGGAAATATTTGGCAAACATGACAAGGCGCAATGGGCTACAACAAAGATCCGATTCCTATGACAAGGGGCACACTTTGCGTCAGTCTACGCATCAGATTTCAGACAATTAGAGTACAACATCAACTGGAATGAGGAAGCATTGATGAGTCAATTTTATTGGGGCTTGAGGGATGACGTGAAGGATTGGTTATAATCTCTTTCTTATCCTCTATCTTATGGCATGATTTGCTATCTAGGAATACATTGGATATCTAGCTGTAGAGAGTATAGCTTAAACCTTTATATGAATCTTGTCTTAGCTTCCAAAACTCTTTTATTTTGTATAAAACTTAAAATATAAGAAAATCCCTTCATAACATATTTTTTCCGCAAAGGATTTTCTATTTCTGAAGTTTAGAAATTCATAACTCTTAATCTAACTGTTCAATTTATTTCAAATTTATAAGATAGGTAGAATTTATTCTTAACTTTTATCACAAAAAATCCAACCGTAAATTCACTTCTGATCTTTCGATATTTAAGAAACCCTAACAGAAGCTCTAAACCCTAATTTATAAGCATCCAATACTCAAATGTCATAAAACTTATGTACAAAGTTTACTAACATAAAATTACACATTCCCTGAAATTTTGAGCTAAAACCTTGTCAAATTGCTCAAGATATAGCTCAAGTTACAACCACTAGTAAATCGAGTCACTTACTACCCTTAGATTGTATGTGTTGACTGCAAAATCCAATAACTCCTTCACTTTAACTTGGAATCCAGCAAGGAATATGTGAAAAATGTAGTCTCAAAAGTGTTCTTTTCAATCGCAGTCACCGATCCTCAATTACTATCCGTACGTGTGCATTATATTAAAAAGAGTGATAGTAGCTCCCAAATCAATACCTTAACTTTGAGCGCTTGTATCTGCTTCAAATAAACTCCAAACCATACAAAATTTGTACCAAAACCATAGCCAAAAATCTAAACTTGCTGACCCTAGCCTTCAAAGTTCAAATGGCTCTGAAAAACTAACCCTAATCTCTAATATGGCCTCGGGCAGCCTCCTCAAAGTCCATTGGTCATGATTTTTGACCAATAGGAATGGAGATTTTCATCATTCATCTCCATTCATCTATATTGGTACCCTAATTACTCCTTTTACTACCAAAACCCTTCTTCAATCTTTTTTTTTATAAGATTTATATAATTTATGCTCTAAACACCAAATAAAAGAACCAAAATAAGTTTCTAAAGGTCACCAATGTCTAACAAAGGTGACTCTAAATATTTAGAAGTTACTATCAACAAAAACCAATCTTAAAAGCCACTATCAAAAGGAAATTAAAGTTATACAACTTCTATAGTAATCTTTTTAAACAACCTCTTCTCAAAGTAATAATCAAATTATATTCTACAACCAACTAAAATCCACTAACATGGCTCTCACCATGTTACTTAATAAATTATATATTAAGTACATAATTACATTATTTTCATATGATAGCCAAACCACAATACGACACCACAAACACTCAATCAAGCCATTAGCTATGTTGTGAAGTATGATAACCGCCTGTTCCAACGAAGCTAAGTTCAATGCTCAAGACAACATATGGCTCACTATGCTCCAACTATGTCAGCAAGCAACTTGAATTCACATTCAAAGGTGGAAGACATGTAAATTGACGTGATATGTGTCAAATCCCTAATTCTAGAAGAAAAAAAGTAGTGTATGGAAGAAGGACTATGCTTTTATTGCAGTGAAGAAGGCCACAGAGCTAGAAACTGCCCCAAGAAGCAAAATTGATGCATTGTCAAGACCAGAGGCACGTTTATTCAAGAAAACGAAGATGTCCAGCCACAATAGGGACCATGGGGCTAGAAAATTCAATACCACAACAATAATCACGTTCCTCTCTTTCTGCTCAGCTTGCCTATTATTTTACCATTCTTTTATTTTTTAGCCCTTAGAAACTAAAAACCTTAGCGTTATTAGATTCAAGAGCATTTGCTTGTTCTTTAGATGAAGAATTTGCTAAGCGTCATGAGATTCCTCTAGTACAAAAATCTAAATCCGTTCAATTAGAAGTAATAGATGGACGATCTTTATTGTCTGGTAGTGTCACCCATGAATCAGAACCTATAGAGATGACGTTTAAAGACCATAGTAGTTATATTATTTTCAATATTATTAGAATCCCATCAAACCCTATTATTCTTGGTCTTTCTTGGTTAGAAATGCATAACCCATCCATAGATTGGAAGTTTGAAAGGATGACATTTCCTTTAGAACATTCCAAGAGTAAGCATGTTAGAAGATCTTGAATCAAAAAACCCTTATTCATGGGAGCAAGAGCGTTTGTAACATCATCTAATAAGGCATACTATTTTTTATTTATGCGACTCCAACTAGCAGAGAGAAGATTTTGACAGCAAATATATCAGAGCAATATAAAGATTTTGAAGACACATTTCAAAAAAAGAATGCTGACATGCTACCAGAGCATCGATCATACAATTAAGCCATAGACTTGTAGGAAGGAGCACAACCACCTTTTGGCCCAATCTACAATTTATCATAGATGGAGTTAGCGGAGTTGCGAAAGTACATTGACGAGAATCTAGCCAAGAACTTCATTTGTCATTTAAAGTTGCCAGTTGGGGCACCAAACTTATTTGTGAAGAAAAAAGATGGGTCACTGCGGATG